TAAGATATCGAATCGACGTTTCGTTGAAAAAATACGATTTTTTTTATTTCCTTTGTAATAATATTGATACATATCTTTTTATAATACATTATTTTATTTAATCATTCTTGAACTACTTTTAGTTTGAAAAGAAAAATGTCCCAGTTGACTAATTATTAGTCTTGCATATTTAAGAGATTATGTCTAGAAGCTAAATATTTCTGTTGTTTTCTTCAAGCCATAAATTATCATTCCTATTATAGTTTTAGAATAGTATTGGTATGTGTTTATTAGTCACATTCCTTTCTCAATGAATATATTGGTGTTTCTTAGAGAATCTATTGTTGTGATTTATACAGGCTTGACGAATTGCTCAAGCAAAAGCGATCAGAAGAAAAAGCAGCCATGAAAGCGGAGAAGCTTGCAAAATGGTCTCAGATCAAGACGAAACTGCAATCATTCCTCGATGACTTTCAGTTGAAGTTGAAAGACCTGAAGTCTTCAGAGGTGCCAAAAAATATTTCGGAGATTGAAGAAAGAATTAACCGAACAGCGGTAAGATTTTAGACATCTTGTTATGGACGGTTGGTTAAACTATGTAGCTTTTTATAGTCATTTATTTCAACTTCTTCCTTTAAAAAATTAAACCTTGCTATATTAATAGTTATAAGCAGCTTTTATATAAATATTTTTTAGAGAATGAAGCTGTATGTTTTTGTATTTTCGATTTGGATTCTCTCGTTAACAAAGCTACAGTATAAATAAGGTTAAAGTATCTTAAAGCTCTTTTAAAAATATTTCTGACAGTTTAAAATAAATTCTCTCTGATATCCCTGCTGAATTTTTGTTACCCAATTTTTTTTTTAAATTCTTCTTTTCGGCGAAGATTTTGGTTACAAGTATCTAGTATTTATTCATGAAATTATATATTTGATATGATAATAACCTGTTTTGTTTTGTTTATTCAAATTGCTAAAAGATTCGCTTCACAAGATTTCATTGAATTGTTTAATGACTAAACTTAATGCTATGTTTCTTTGATTAGCAAAAAAATTGCTAAACTCAATCAATTGTCCAATTTTCCTAACTTTCTTGTCTGAAATCTTTTGTTCTTACTTTAAAAAGTTCAAATTAATGTCTTAAAGATTAAAAATGTATTAAGATATTTTTAGAACTTCAATGTTTAGAAATTAATTCTTCACTCCTTGCTGTTTTATTGTAGTTTTTCTCTCTGTTTATTTAATTTCGAGTACTACATTTATATATTTAATAAAATGAATACAGTATTGAATACAGAGAAGTTTAGCAAAGAGAAGATGAATAATAAGAGACGTTATCCAGCCCCACAGGAAGCCCATACAAGCTTTGAGAGTTGAATGTAATTTAACAAAAAAAAAATAATAATAATAATGAAATAATTGAAAGCTAATATTTACTCACATGAATTGTTTTATACGTCATCCTAGTTCTTTACTTCATGTGAGTAAATATTAGCATTCATTTATTTATTTATTTATTTATTTTTTTCGTTAAATTACATTCAACTCTCAGAGCTTGTATGGGCTTCCTGCGTCAGCCCTAGCTTTCTTCACCAGTTTTGTGATGGATGTCAATATACAATAGGCAGAAACTGTCATGAATTGTTCATATCTATTAATGAAAATTAATGATTTTTTTAAAATGTGTTGCCAGATAGCTAGCATTAGTATTTAAAATGTTTTACTAGGGGTTTGCCTCTTTCTTCTTTTATGGGTTTCCTGTCTTTTTCTTGCCTCGCCCCTCCCTCCCTTGGTCCTTGATTCTCATACTCAATCGCATTGTTTCCGTCCGTCTCATCCAATGAAAACGCACAGATGAATTAGTGAATTAGCGTTATCCCGACTTCCACAAGCCCTAAGGGACCAGTTATTAATTAGAGGCTTGCACTAAATGTTTTTTGACCCTACCTTTAATTTTCCCCCATTTGTACGACCACCTCCCCCTTCCCTTTTCAATAAACGGTTCCTAGTGTAGAATACTAGGGACTTTAAGATTTGCAAAATCTGCAACGACGACGTCAACCGGAAGTGTAAATTACTGCACTTTGGGTTTCGAGTCTTTAAAATCTGTCTTCCCTGTGAATGAGTTGACTTTACTGACAATGTTTTGAATGAAATCTTCAATGAACAGAACCTCAAAGAGAAATTATTTACACTTCCGGTTGACGTCGCTGTCCTAGATTTTGCAAATCTTAAAGACCCTAATAATACTGAGACCTGTACACAATCATTCCGTAGGGATTATCTGAAGAGATCCTGGCCGTGGTCCCTGATATTCAGTCTGGTTACGTTTACGGTAACGAGCTTTTGAATGACAATGAGATAGATGAACCGGAGAAGGACCGAATAGAGAACGAGATGGAGGTGATGGGAGATGGCTTCAAGGAACTTAGAAACGATGTCAATGACGAGCACAAGAGGTAATATTACGTATCTTTTTCTAAATAGAAAATGGAATGTTTGTCTACTCAGGCGCAACCCGCAGCCGTCGAGAAGGCGACACTAGTCCCTTTTATAGAAAACGATACGGCAAATTTGTATCCATACTGTAGTCTTACTATATCCGTAGCCGTAACTAAGCGTTTTTGATTGGATGAATTACTAGAAGACAATGGGAAGCCATTTCAAGGTTGCGGCATGTGGTACCGTGTACGTGCTGTAAGTCAGTACCGTATGTTTCCCACTCGTACGATAACCATTCTTATGGGAAGCCAATTCAATGTTACGGTATATCCTACCGTGTAGTACGTTCTGTAAGTCGGTACTTTATGTTTCCCACTCGTGCGATAACTATTCTTATGGGAAGCCATTTCAATGTTATGGCATGTCGTACCGTGTACGTGCTGTAAGTCAGTACCGTAAGTTTCCCACTCGTGCGATAACTATTCTTAAGGGAAGCCATTTCAGTGTTATCATGCCGTGTACGTGTGGTAGGTCAATATCGTACGTTTCCCACTATATACGGCTCTATACTTAACTTAAAGACATACACGCGCGGTTCTGAGGAATTAACATATAAAAACTGTTGTACTATCTTCTATTTCTAGGTTATCAGACTTGCTAGAAGAGAAGCGCAAAATACTAGGAGGAAAATATGAGATGTGGGTAGAACAGAAAGAAAAGTTAATCGGTTTGCTAGACAACGCAAAAGAAGTAGTCAAGGAAATGAAGTCGAAGCAAAGACCAATAACTGCTGAAGAAATACATGAACAGTTGGATGAAAGTGAGGTGAGGGAAAGACAAATTCAATCATTTTCTTTTCTTTTCTTCCCATTAATTTTTGCCTATAATCCTTTTTTAAAAGAAAGCGCACAACAATCAGAATACTTCACGCTAATGTTGTTTTTCCCCTTTGGGAAATTGTCACATTGAATTCCCCAGTTTTCCAGGGTTGGCCTCGAATAGTCCCTGTTAACAGTTCCCTGTGCCATCTTAAAAGGTAGCCGTGCTTGTGCATTGAAGCGAGACGAACGGTGAGCTTGCAATGATAGAGACATGTGAATAATTGTCCAAGGTGTTAAAAAAGGTCTATCACTACAAGATCACCGCCGTTCTTGCTTCGGTGCAAAAGCACTGTTAACTTTCAAGATGGCGCAAGGAAATGCGAATATTCGTTTCTTATGTTCATTTTCCTGTCGTATTTTGCAGGAGGTGTTTCAAGAAATGGCTCAATTTCTTCCTCACGTGAAGGAAGGCCTGTCGTTTGGTAACCAGCTCCTTGAAGATGATGATCTTAGCGAACAACACAAAGACATCATTGAGGATGACATAGAGAACTTGCAAATTGGGTTTGGTGGAGTGAAGAAAGAATTTGAAGACCATCAGGAATGGTAAGACATTCCTTGGGTTCCACGGTTTTAATGTATCTCTATGAACAAGCTATATTCCTTCAAAGTACAAGAGGGACGCAAAAAGATTATGATTGTATTCTTTCTTTTCTTGTACAGGCTGAAGTCCTTGAGGGCAGAAGTGGATGAAGTTACGGTACGATGCTTTGCTATAATACACCTATCATTCCTTCCTTCCTTCCTTCCTTCACGACTAATTCACTCATTCATCACCCAGTTATCCGTGTTATTCTTTATTCATTCATTCATTTTATCTTTTGCTCTCAGCCGATGCAACAGCAAGTCTCAGAAAGTGCAGTTGATTTTGACTTAAGAGATCGAGAGTGAGTATTTAATAATTTTTTTATATTTTCTATCTCTTTGGTCAAATATTTAACATAATATTCTTTATTTCTTTTAGCATGCCAGATGAACACGACACACAAGTCTCTTCCACGACCGTACACATGAAGGTACTACATTGAGGGAAGAAAGTTTGGCATCAACTGATATTAGAATAGCTTGACTGTTCCCCTTACTTACTGTTGTTATCTGATATTCTGCAGCACCAACCCGGAGAACACTTGTTTGTTATCAGACAAAATGTAACCGCTGATCAGTACTTACAGCTGTTGCATGATGATATGACACCCGAAGAAAAGTGAGTTTTCCTGTCTTCTCGTCTCGTTTCTTTCCCATTCTCTTTTTCTTTCTTTCCTCTGCTGTGCTCTGCTGTGCTCTGCTGTGCTCTGCTGTGCTCTGCTGTGCTCTGCTGTG